TTTTAAGAGGTTTGTTGAGCGCTCATACACAGGCATAATTTACAATTCATTCCTAAAATACCAACATTCATGTATTGGTTTGCCGCGTGCAAATAGGATTTGCCGTGTTGAAATAAGATTTCTGAGTGTAGGCTTACAAAGAAGCAAGAGGGCAATTCAACATACAGTAGATAAAGACGCTATTGAATTGGTAGCACAAAGACAGACTGCACATGATAGAATAACATCTGCTCTGCTCTCAAACTCATTCTCTTATTGTGGGATTGTCCGCTTGTGAATATTGATTTCTTTTTTTTCATCTCCAACAGGGGTTGCAGGGACCAAGGGTGAGTAATTATTCACTTCTGTAGCTTAATCATTATTCTTTGTGCCGGCCTGCTGCCTGCTCAGTACTGGAAAAGATGAATATACTACTTTATCATCCTCTATAAAGGCCAAGTCCTAAATAATTTGAAGGCTAATGTGGTTATGCAATTTCCAGGGCTCTCCTGGCCCTCGCGGACCACCTGGACCTCCAGTAAGTTTTAATTTTGTATAACTTACATATGAAAAAATACATGTGATGTAAATATTTCATGTAGTTTAGAGCATCTGCTTAAGGATAAATAGGTAGATGGGTAGATAGATGTAGATATATAGATAAATAGACAGACAGAAACTTAACATGATTATTAGGATGAGTGGGATTATGTTTCACCATATCAAGTGTTTCATTTACAGAATAATCTAACTAGTTATAGATGTGCATATTTTTCGCTGTGATCTGATTCAAATAGCTTTCAGCCAGCGGCTCTTTTCTGCATTTGGCATGCCTCATCCCCTGTGCCTTCATGCCTCATTTCCTGTGCATTGATGATTGTTTTAGTGCATATCTGCATATTAGGTGAGAATAGCAGAACCCACCACCAACATTGGAGATGAGGATTCACAGAACTGCTTCCTAAACCCAAATACCATGAGTGGCTGTTGCTGCAAATGTACCAACAAGTAAAAACAATGAAAGTGTGTCAATATAATCCAATTTTCTCTCTTTGGTTTTCAGGGTCTTCCCAGTTCTGCCCTCTCACTTGTAAGTATGTTTGTCTTTAAAGTCAGTTCAGGGTTTTGGGGATGATGTCATGTTATAGTACAAACAGAAAAGTAAAAATGACCTTATTGCCTTGTTGTCTTCTTTGGTAGTCAAATGAGGCTCTTGGTGCCGCCTTTCAAGTCATCATTGATTCCCATGCTGCACTGAGACCAGAGGTTAGTTCTGAGGGAAATTACACTCATTCCAAGGAATCAATGTCGATTGTTGTGGTCCGAATGGTTATTAATCTGAAAGTCTTTATAAACTTGGAAAAGAGATCCAACCAAACATTATCTGATTGAATATAAACTTAGAAATTGCATTTTTTTTTTTAAAATCATGTCAATATTTATGTCCAATTCTCAGAGCATGGACATGCCCATGTTAGACCAGAGCACAGAGATCTTCAAGACCTTGCAGCATCTCAGCACTCTGATCCACAGTCTAAAGAACCCGCTGGGAACCCGTGACAACCCGGCACGAATCTGCAGAGACCTCTACAACTGTGAACAGAGGATGTACGATGGTGAGGAGACATTGAAACAGCTCAGTGATTTCTGTCTAGAATTCATTTTGTTCTTGCAAGTTAGGAGCCGTTTCCTCTGCTGCTACTTTCTGACAGGCACTTACTGGATCGACCCAAATCTCGGCTGCGCTGCCGACACTATTGAGGTGATGTGCAACTTCACCGGTGGCGGACAGACTTGCCTGAAACCTATCACAGTATCCAAGGTTCGGATCACTTCTATATTTAGCCATCTGCTCCAGCTAGACAAAACACCCGGTGAAATGTAAACTCACATCTCTTTGGGAGCTTATTGTGCAGACGGTGGATGCATATCAAATCCATTACTGCTTGTGGGGAATGTTCTCTGTTGTCTTTCTCATAAAGTAGAGAAGCCTAAATTAAATTAAATGATGTTCATGTGATAAATTAAGGTGCGCAGCTGTTCGTTTTCTGGCTCCATACTATAAACTGTAGCTCTTGTTCGATGGATAATTCTCACAATGAATTTTATGGTTTCCATTTAGTCCTGTTGGGACCTTCACAGGCATGTTCAGATGGCAAGGAAACCTCTAGGATCTTTAACTCTCCTTTCATTCCTTTGTTTGGGGTTATACCTCAGCTGTGAGATATTGCAACTAAACATCTCAGCAAACACAAACAGACATTTAATGCCTGCATTAACTGTAAATGAAACAAGGGAGACAGACAATCATACTTAGAGGCACAATATGTGATCCAGATGTAACTCAGTCTAATTTACAACAGAACAGGAGTCCAAATTGACTTTGCTCAAGTTCTTCTATTACAGAGACTAATACTCGCCAACAAGTAGGAATGTTTGTGAACAAACTCTCATTAAAATGATCATCATTTTCTAAATTATGATTATTTGAGAAACATAATTCTCCACTCCTCTACTCACAACTCTCTCTCAATCAAAAATCGATTTGCTTTATAGTTGGAGATGGGAGTGGGTCGTATCCAGATGAACTTCATCCACCTTTTGAGCACCGAGGCTGTGCAGCATATCATCATTCACTGCCTCAACACGCCTGTATGGGCAGCAGGACCCTCCCTGCAGCCCTCATCCAGCGCTGTGAGCTTCAAGGCCTGGACAGGGGAGAAGATTCAGGCAGGCGACCTCCTGGAGCCGCTCATACCCAGGGATGACTGCTGGGTACGCACTGTTATTTATCTGCCATTCAACTACACCGGAACACATGTAAAATGCAAAAACAATGTTGTGGTTTTACTGGGAGTTAAGTCCTTGCCCTTGAACCACAATGTTGTTTTTAAAATGTTGTTTACATACTAAACAAAGCAGATACAACATGTTAATTAGGAGTTGATTTTTTAACTTTGGAGTGAACCAGGCTTGCTCCATACTTAGCCCACACTTTTCCCACTTACTTATTGTGGTGTGCCTCTCACACATGAACCTTACCCATCATAACATCACGTGACATAATTCAACCTTCACTTTCAGATCAAAGATGGCCGCTGGCATCAGACCCACTTCATCTTCCAGACCCAGGACCCAAACTTACTCCCCATAGTGGATATGTACAACCTGCCGACAACAGGACCTGGCGCACGCTATCACCTCGAGGTTGGACCCGTGTGCTTCTTATAGGGCCCTGTGAACGGGCTGGGAATACTCCTCAAAGGAGTGACTGCATGGAGGAGGGTGGACGAGGGGAGACTAATGCTTCTGTGGTTTCCAGAACAACAGATCCCCCATTTTCTCTCGGCAAAATATGCTTGGACTGCAGAAACAGGAGGGGGCACCAGAGAAAGAAGGCCCATTGAAAATGCAGAGATAAGACTTGTAGCACTAATCAGCCTATGGAAAACAATAATAAGCTTCTTTTTTTCAGAGACTTGCTTGTGTGACACAAGACCTGAAGGCCCCTTTTGAGAGGAAGTAATATGAACGTCTCATTTTGTCATCTCTCAGACCATGTTGTAACATATTTTCTTCACAGTCTGATACCCGATTTTGCAAAAACCCTAAACGTTTTTCAAAAAGAGATTTGTACAGAAACATGGAAGTTACATTTGCAAATGCAGTAATTCCTATTTTAATGTTTAAGTATTATTTATACATGTATATGTACTGTATATTGTAATATAAAGTGCAATAGTTATTGTTCCACAGCCTTTAGGCATATACAGTATCAACATCATATCACTCATTCAGGTATACGGTGTGCCTCAGACACACAGGCGTACTGTCTCCAGGTAAGTCTTTTTGAGCCTATAATAACTGTCCAGTGCTGAGAGACCCCGTGTTTATACAGATATCTTCACACAAACAACTGCTGTGTGGTACTTCCCATGTTAAAGCGGAAGGAAGCTTTCCACAGTGTGAACTGAGAAAAGTGTGTCAAGATGCTACCTCGTACCGCACCTCTCATCTCACAGCAAACAAGATGTTACCTGATGTAATCTGAGATGACACAGAGGTGACACCTGGTGCTGCAACAGTTGACACTCGTACGATTAACTCTTGTCAGCTCTCAGCAAAGCTATGTCGTTACAAAAAAAAAAAAAGGGAAGATTGTAAAATATACACGCAGGCCAAATTCATTAAATTATATTTTCAAAGTAGTATTTTAACGTTTCAATACTCTTTGTACTATCTGACACTGAGTCTGACACTATAAGTTAAGTTTTTTTTTTATCTCTCTAAATGTAAATGTGTATAATTATGCAACCTCTATTATCTACAGTGGATTCTATTTAAAATTTTATTTAAATTCTGATTAGCTTTCCAGTTTAAAAGCAGCCATCAACATCATGTTTTTTTGTCATTTGGAGCTTTAAGGATTCTACAGTCTGTATGTGTTTTTCTAATGAAAACTGTCCCAGACAATCAACTGTATTTGAGGACATTAACCATTCGTCCTTTTTCTTTTTTTTTTTTTTCACTGTTCACTCAAAGGTGCAGCAATGGCGGTCAGTCCCGCCAAGTTATAAACTCAGAGGATTTCTTACAATACACAACACTAAACTACACATGGTACATGAGCTTACAGCGTTTGGTCTGTACAGATGTTTTATGCTGCGTGAATGAAGTCTAATGACTCAACAGGTAATTCAATAAATGTCTGAAACCTTTGTTGATAAGCAGCTTTCTATTTTATCCCCCCCACCCCCAATCAAAAAATGTTCCATAGCAAAGTGGGAAAATAAAATGCATTTAAACTGCCTGCTTGTGGCAGTGCGTTTAAGCTTCCTTCTATGAATTTTACACCTGGAACTGACAGCTACTACCATTGTCAACCTGGAGAAAAATTGTGTCCTTGAAGTAACGCCTTATTTCTTCCCTAACATCCCCCCCACCCCACCCAATCAGTCCTGGGTGCAATAGGGGGATTCTTTTACCTGCAGCCTTATTTGATGCAAAAAACACAGGTAGACTTAGAGGTTGAAAGCTCTGTATTAGCATCGCTGTATCTGAGCATACGCGATCTTATCTGGGGCACATGGCGTGGCGGCCTCCATCAATGGGTAGGTTGACTCCAGTGATGAAGCTGGCAGCATCGGACGCCAGGAAGGCAATGCTCTGCGCGACTTCTTCCACCTCTCCTGGTCTGCCGAGGGCATGAGTCTGCTTACACTTGGCAAGAAACTGGTGGTGAGAAAAGGCAGAATGAGATTTCTTTTGTGTATGTTACATAAAAGAAATGGTTTGGGATGACTAGACCAGAACTGAACACAAAATATCACAGGAATATATATATATAAAAATAAATAAAATATTGAGGACATGACCTTGTTTTCCCCGATGGTAGCTATGAGCCTGTGTCCAGTGCTTGTTTACAGAACCTCTGAAGGAACAAACACATTATGAGTATTGATATGATTATTGAATGGTTACCTGGGCATACTGGTCCTCATCTAGTCCTGCTCTCTTGTGGACATCTGTGACGATCACACCGGGGCTGAGGAGGAGCGACAGGAGCGGGGATACAAAATATGCTACATTGTAAACGGTCATTTCCAGCAGAAACAACTGATATCAATGCTTTTAGTATCAGAAACTCACAGAGTATCAGAGGTCAACTACCGAACACAATAAAAAATAAATAGTTTTCCACAGCAACGCTTACCAGACAGAGTTCACTCTGACTTGCTTACATGCCAGTTCTGGAATAAAAGAGATGTTATTTATATTGTGAGCAATGCTGAACAATACAGTACAAGGAGTAAAATGGCTCACTCACCAAGTGCTATACAACGTGTGAACTGATCAATGGCCGACTTGGACATACAATAGGCCAGCACACCAGGGAACTACAGAGAGAAAATAGTGTGTCGCAATTCTCAAAGACATGTAGCGGGAAAATATGTGAGCAGCTGCTGAATACCCACTGATCTCTGCCCGTTGACGCTGGATACATTGACGATAGAGCCCTTGGTCTTGATCAGGTGGGGAACACAGAGTTGAGTCAGGTGGTATACAGATCTGGAATATGAAACAAACGTTAGGGGACATACTTAATAAAATATACTATACTATATTCAAGATCTCGTGTCAGATCCCAGCTGCCGTGCACTCAGCACTGACCTGTCTCTCTGATGTTATGATGCGAGGTGAGATCCTACCTGACATTGATGTTCATGACCTTGTCGTACTGAGCCAGGTCTGTCGTCTCGATGCTGCCCATGGCCAGGATACCGGCACTGTTAACCAGGACGTCCAGCCGGCCGAAGCGAGCGATCGTTTGCTCCACAGTCTTCTTCACCGTCTCTTCATCGGTGAGGTCTCCAGGAACGAGCAACGGCTAAACACACGCACGTTCATTTTTTTAAAATTGTGTTTTGACTTTAAGGGCATTTTTTGCACATTCACGCAATACTGAACAAGCAACTTCACTCCTTTCACATTTTCATTCAAACATTCAAATATTCAGCTGAATTAGGAATTGTGCGCTCTCTTCTGGTTCTTACCGCTCATACTTTTTTTGAAATATCCCAGGCTTTGCTCATGCAAAATAACGGACGAAATGTTCAAAATTCACACATTCTCTTATCTACTCATTCATACTTTTAGTTAGAAACTTGCTTCAGATGTTCCACATCTTTTATACATTTTGGGTATTAATAATAATTTCAAATCCCATTAAAACGTTTTAAAATATTAAACTTACAATGGAAGAAACCTTCAAACCAACTCATCTTCAACCTCTTCCTACTCATTCACACATTCATATACGAAGTCCATTCCAACTGTATAATGTTCATGACACGCGGGACTTTAATTATTACTTTAATGTACATTTTTCAGTGAGTGGAGAGGAGCTTTAGAAATCTTAAATATTCCACAAATAAAATACACATTAAAACTTAGGAAAATCTGTGTCAGTATAACTATGGAAGCAAAAGATCCTACACTTTTGGCTCCATGAGCCTCTACGCGCCATATTAAAGGGAAACTTTGGTATTTTTTCACCCTGGACCATATTTTCCCAAGTGCTTGTGCCTAAGCGACTAATGGGGACAACATTTTTTTTTAACTGATCCAGTATGGAGCAAGAGCACTGCAGCCAACAGCTGTGAAACAGGCTGCAACGTAATTATTCAGGGCAATTGCACACCGTCCATGCACATCCACTAAAAGTGCTCGATTTGGCTCTCTCAGCTTTATACTGGCCCTTGTTGATCACCCATTTTCTACCCAGACATTTCTGCCACATTTCCATCAAACATACAGTTAATCCACTGGGTCTTCACTTCCTCAGCTGGTGGGAGTAGAAGACTTTTGTGTTGGTCCTTAACTAATTTTCTGTTTCAGCGCAGATGAACTGCTCCTCGCCTTTAAAGGGAACAATAGCAGGTGGCGGCAGCAGGAGGGGGCGACAAAACGCTGCAGTTAAGTCGGTTTCCAGCAGCTTTAAAAACAAATATACAGAAATGTTTGCATCCTGTTGGATCACCTGTAGCCCATGATCTGATGTATAAATAAACTTTATTATTATTATTATCATCAACCACACAAGATGTGTTTGTTAACTGATTAAACCGCCATTGTACAGCATGAGACACAAAGCAACCTACGATCTAAAGTGAAATATTAAAATCACACGGAAAACTAGGGAAAGTGGAGTTTGCGGTAAAATCAGCTCTTTGATCCAGATCCTGCGCAGGCCCGGCTCATCTCGAACGAGCCCACCTCCCTTTGGCGTGGACTTTGGGTTGTGTCACTTTTCAGACCTTTAACATGCACCAAAAAAATCTATATGACACACTAAAGCACAGGGGGAAACTCCAAAAAGCCTAATATGGCCTCTTTAACAGGAGTATCCATTTGACTTTAAATACATTTAATTTAGTTTTACCCCAAAGTGCAATGTTCCTAAATATCCTTACAGATACAGGTCCACCTAATCTGTAATTGTATGTAATATTGTATGTAGGCATTTATCACGCCAAACTCCATTCAATAAACTACAGATTATAGGTGCAGAAGCTTAATACGGTTTTCAGACTTTACCTGGTCTACAAGCTACATTCAAAAACACCCGTGCACAGTGTGAACAGTGTGTGTGTGTGTGTGTGTGTCCTCGGTGTGTGAGGTACCTCGGCAGCTCCACAGTCGGTGCACTGTTGGGATATCTTGTTGAGGTTTTCCACGTCGCGGCCGTTCAGAGCCAGCACAGCTCCCAGTTTGGCGAACAGGACGCTGGTTCCTGCCCCGATCCCTGAGCTGGCCCCCGTTATCAGGGCCACCTTCCCCTTTAGGGAGGACACCTACAACACACACACACGCACACACACACGCACACACACTGGGAGTCTTTCAAGTGTCCCCACAGCACCTTAGTATAAACACACAGTGCTGCATACTGGACTCATACAACAGACAGCAGTCGGAAGCAAACCGCGTCCAGCTTCGTGCAGGAGAGTAAACTTACTTTAAAAGAATCGTCTGCGGCCATGCTTTAACGTCTGCATGTACTTTAAGTGGTACAGTTAGAGTCCTCCGATACACAGCCACCGTGACACGCTTCGCCCACTAGTGATGACGCAATCTGACGTATCAGGTACTAACTGATTTGTAGTTCATAAATGACTACAACACGGCTTCTTGTCCAGACCATTGACAGTATAACTTACATATGTATGTGTGTGTGTGTGGTTCCCAACGTGGGGGGCGGGACCCCCACAAGGTGTCGTCAAAGCTTGACGGGGGGTCGCCGGGCCTTCTTGATTTTAGGTCATGTAAGAGATCTTTAATAATAATAATGCAGTAGTATATACACTGTGCCCTGAGCAAATGTCACTTCATCACTTTATTTAGTTG